CCCGGAAGACCCACACCAGCCATCGTATGCCGGCCGTGAAAGCCTTCGACAATACATTAAGATTGAATGCTCCACAAACCTTGCTGTGGGATGTTAAGGTAACAAATCAATGAAGAAAAAAAGAGCAATGGAAATGTAATAGACAAAGTCACAGAGGTGGGAATATCACTGAAGTAACGACATAAGGGGAAACTGTTCAGCTATTCAATACATTTCTCTGTTGCTTCTTATAAGAACAGAGGAGGTATCAATGAGTTTAAAGTCATGCTTGGAGATACAGTCATTTAACTTTTAGAATACTGGCAAAACATGCAGCACTGATACACTTGTTTGGCAGGATAGCCATCCTAAAAATGCAGATGAAAACATTGGAATCGAGCATTAAATTGGTGCCCACAGAAGGCAGTCACAGGATACTTATGAAAATCCCCAAATTCCTTGAATATCTTTCTTTAAAACATTACATTTTATGAAGACTAGTATAGATTTGAAAAGTACTTAATTCTAAAAAATAGATTGTAATTATATGGACACTCTTACAATTAGTTATTTATACAATGAATGCAACTATTTGTTGTATAAACCCATTTCTCTCCTTTTTCCTGTTAAGTTTGTTTTGTGCCTGTTTGTAGATTGTAAGTTTTGGTTCGTATCGAGTATACTCACCATCATCCTTGCTTACGAAAAGTTGTTTTGTCCTTTCTTTTATGATATTTTTATCCCAGAAGTAAACAATCTTGTGGCATCTTAAGGACCACATTCATGGAAACAAAAGTTTTCATGGATTATGGTTCAGTATATGAAAAATATTACAATAAAGACTCATTCTTATTTACTGCAATGGACAAATGAAACTACTTTTCTGGAAAATTTCCTTCCAAGAATCACTAAGATGGTGGGGAAAAGAAGAAATGTCTTGCCTGAAATAGTAGGTAATTAAGGAACCTATACTCCATGGAAGTTAATGCCTTTAAAAGTCTTTAAATCTTTGTGGTTCCACAAGATAGTATTACTGTTCTATCTCCTGACTGAGACTGTCGTATTTTAAAATTATTTAATTGTTCTTTTAAAGGAAGTTTCTGTCTTATTTTTCATGGTTTGTACCTTTATACATGTGTTTTCAAAATTATTAGTGTTTTTTTTAATTATGCTATCATAATTATACTTTGAGCAGATTTTAAGCAACAAGAAAGGTTAAACAAGTAACCGTCATGGTCAGATATACTATTATAAATTCATGAGTGGAACGCAAGAATTGAAGGGTACAATTCATTCAAAAGAAAGAGGCTAGCCAAAACGGAAGATCGGCATTATATATGAAGGAGTTGCCCATGTTTATTGCAATACAAGAATCTGAGCATAACTCTCCAATCAAGAGCATTAGGATACAAGCTCAAAGTAGGGGAAGCAACAAAGATATTATTTTGAGGGTAAGAATTTTATAAACCACAAAGCTAGGCAGAATATCTCAAAACATTAATGAACAGTCAACCTATGACCATTTATAAAGGAACGCATTGCCTGCCAGAAGCCAGAAGCCTGCACAGAGTTATCAAAAATAAAGTGACCACTTTAGTTGACAGGGGCAACACAGCTGATGTAATGTACCTTGATTTCAGCAAAACATTTGACAAAGTCTCCCATGAGATTCAAGCAGAGATGAAAAAATGATTACACTATCTTTAGATGTATACAGAGGTAGCTGAATTGTCATACCCAAGGAGTGTACATCAATAGCTCCTCATCAAAATACAGAGAACTGCCAAATTGCAGAGCTCCATTCTAGGCCCTGTGCTGTATAAATGAAAATATGATAAGAGGTTAGAAAATATGATAATCAAATCATCTGATCACAAAAAGAAGGGTGGGACAGCAAAAACCTTAAAGGACAAAATCAAGATTCAGGATGATTGTAGCATGGTGCAATGCTGGCCAAAACCAGGAAGACAAATATCAACAGGGGCAAATACCAATTCGTTCCTCAAATTCCAAATCTGATTAGGACAAAAATCAGAGGCATGAAGATAGGATGAGTAAGACCATACCAGGCAGCAATACATGTGAAAAGATTTTTAGTGTCTTGGTGGATGACAAGCTGAACATAAGTCAACAGTGTGGTGCTGCTGCCAAAAAGGCAAATGCAGTCCTAGCATGCATCGACAGAGGTACAGTGCCAAGATCAAGGAAAGTCACAGCTGTCCACTGTTCAGACTGCACCTAGAATATTGCATCCAGTTCTGAGCAAGCCATTTTAGGAAGGACACTGACAATTTGGATGATGTCCAGAGAAGAGGAACCAAGAGGATAAGGGGTCTGGAAGGAAAAGCTTTTGAGAAACCACTGGAGGTACTGGATCTCTTTAGCCAGGAGAAAAGAAGACAGTGGAGAAATGTGTGAACTGCTTCCATGTATCTGAAGGGCTGCTATAGAGAAGACAGGACAAGCTTGCTCAGAGGTGCTCCAAACATCCAGAAGCAGCGTTTAAACTAAAAGTGGGTTTTGGTTGGGCATCAGGAAAAAAAACATCATAGCGGTAAGAGCTGCTCAAGAACAGAACACCCTACCTCAAAAGGTGGAGGCATCACTGTCAGCGGAGGACCATCTGTCGGGGATGCTGAAGGCGATGGATTCCTGCGGTGGCAGGGGTTGGACTAGATCAGGGTTTCTCGACCTCGGCCGCTTTAAGATGGGTGGACTTCAACTCCCAGAATTCCCCAGCCAGCAATGCTGGCTGGGGAATTCTGGGAGTTGAAGTCCACCCATCTTAAAGCGGCCAAGGTCGAGAAACCCTGGACTAGATGATCTCCAAGACCTCTTCCGGCCCTTCCACTCGACGATGAACGTCATCTCTCTTGGTCAAGAGCACCACCACTGAAGAGGGGTTTAACAGGAGTATTTTTATTCGGTACGGCCAAACCTTCTTCCCTCCCCAGCAACCCTCCTGGCAGGGAGGGGGGCACCCGCCCGGAGTC